TCACTGAAATAGAAAAAAAGCAATTTCAGCAAAATTAAATTCAATTCATCTTTATTTCTACTATTTTTATTTTTTACAATGTAGATTGTGTCAAAACAGCTTAACATAGAAGATTAAAGTACACTGAAACTGTGTCAGTCCAGTTTTCAGAGTTTAAGTTCAGTTCAATTCAGTGTGGTTTAATTTTTAATGCTGAAAGTCCAAGTGTTGAAGAGCAAATTCATTGATGCGCAAACCTTCTAACACATGCGGAATGGTGATTTAATGAAAGTTTATGAGCGTCAAAAGTTGTGGATCTGTTCAGCTAAAGATTTGACTGTGTCACTGCATCCAAACATCTTAAAATAGTGCAAAACAATAGAACTAAAGCAATCTCCATTGTACAAGAGCACTTCTATTCTGTTACACCGAACAGTCGCATCATCAATAACGTAAGTGTGCTCAGGCTCGGACAATAGTATCTGGATGCAGTCGTTATGATACAAGCTGAGCGGGGTGGGGGGGTGTATGGAACCCCTCATCTTTACTTCTATAGCACTTTTACTATGTAGATTGTGTCAAAGCAGCTTAACATAGAAGTTCTAGTCAGTTGAAACTGCTTCAGTCCAGTTTTGAGTTGAAGTTCAATTTATTTATTAGAATTTAATTTTCACTGCTAACAAAACAAACACTGAAGAACAAATCCAATCATGTGCAGCTCCACAAGTCCCAAAACAAGCAAGCTAGTGGCGAGGAACAAAACTTCACCAATTGACGAAAGTGAAAAAAAAAAAACAGGCTTAGTTTTACATGCAATAATAAGTGAGAGGACTAGCAGTTTATTCCTACAGTCCTAAAAAAAAAAGTAGAAAACTCAAATTTGTAAAAAAATACACTCAAAAAAGTACAAATACTGGAAAATACTAGTCAATTACAGTAATTAGCCTAATTAGCCCCATAGCCTGCACACGCTTATGCCATCAGGTAGGCATTACAGAAGCCTGAGGAGCAAATCAGTGTGGTTTCATGATAGTTCTTATCATGTCATTATAATACTTTAATACCATATCTTAAATACTATTGAAAACTAGTATGAAATAATAAATCAGTAAATAGTTAAACTAGCATAAATTGTTAATATAACAACTATCATAACAATTGGTGAAATATTCAGGTATTAAGTTATATTCTTCAGAGTTTTTTTTAAATTGGGTTATATTTTATACAACTATATTTTTATATATTTATAAAATTATAAAAGCTTATTTATTATGTTGGGATTGTATAGTGTTTGTATAATTATGTTTTTTTTTATGTTCTTGTTTGGTCTGGCGCAACGTAATTTCGTTCTGCATTACAATTTTATTGTGATGTTTTGAATGAAAATAAAGGAAACTGAAACTGGACTAATGTGAGTAGTTTGTTACTAAAATTTGTTACTTTTCACCCCTGGTCTAGGGATGCAATGATTTTAGATTTTGGTTGTATGATTATAGTCTGGGAAATATTCACGGTTATCACGATTATTATGCTTTAATTAATTTCAAAACACTATAAATTTAGTAAATCACATGAAAACTTCTTATTTAGTAAAGTGTTATTTATTGCAGCTCAGTAATCAATTAATACAGCACAAAATAACAATAAAACAAACAATAGTCCATTTCTTTTTGGACTTAGTAAACTAACTCAATAACTGAAAAAAGTTTTTGGCATTTAAACATAAGTCATAACTTTACACTGAAAATAAACGACAGCCGCGCATCTCATGTGGAAGCAACAAACTTGTGTACACAAAAGACCGGATTTGTGAACAGCCCTTAGTTAATAGGGCCGCCGTTTGCCAGTACGGGACCTATGAAGAGTGCAGGAGTGGGTTTGGTTTGATTAGGCCCCCTAATAGTAACTCTGGGGGCCCCAAATTGTTCTTACTTTTCCGCCCAGCGGCACCCCTGTCCTCAGCCATAGTTTAAATCAGCCTTTAATCCAGTATGCGTGCATATTAGGCTCGGTGCACAAGCTTGGAACTTTAAATAGAGCACATTTGACATAACTTTGTTTAGTTGCAGCAGTTTTGTTTCATGCAGAGAGCAGTGTTGAGAAGTTTTTACAATTAATTAACTGTAATGAATTAAAACACAGTTAATTGTGAAATCGGTTAATACTTGCATCCCTACCCTGGTCACATTAAGCTGCTGCTTTTCAGGGCGAAAAAAGTTATGATCGCAAAGGCCATGTTAGCAATATTATATCATGATTTAAAAGGAAGATTAGTTAGTAGCATCATTACTTTTAGTAAATAAGAAATCTAATTAGCTAAACCTTTGTTGAAGAATGGACAACATTGACATTTTATGAAATTAAATGAAGGATAATATGAAGTTGAATAAACAGAATGCACATCTAGCCATCATAATTAAAAATGTCATCTAACCTGGCTAAGGTCCAGAAAATGCTGGTTCAGTGCTAGCAACCAGCTCTATTTCGACATAGCCAGGTGTAACGTCACGCCTTTAGTATTTATGGAATGCTGAAATCACATGTTCTCACACACGTAATATCAGTCAACTTATGCCAGTCAGCGGAGCTAAAGTTGTTCCCTTGTGTTAAATCTGGGCCAGCCTGTTTTAGCTGGTTGTTTGCTTGTCAAAGCATCAAACAGAAGCATTATGAAACTGACAGGCCTCACGACCAAAATGCACAGGTCTAAGGGAGAGGTGTGAGGCTAGGTTTTTGAAGATTTAACAGAGCAGAATAATTTTTTACTGTCAGACGAAAGGTTACTCTGTCTTCATAAATTTTGTGGTTCATATTGTAGGTTTTATATAATAAATGTCAGTGGCCAAACAGACAATCATAGCCTTTGACAGAAGTTGTCATTCTGGATGACGCTAACCTTTTCTTAAAAATAACAAGTTAAATTTAACATTTTACATTCTAATATAAGGTGTTGTTTGTAACCAGTAGTGCATGTTCAGATGCGTTCACAATAACATAATTGAGATAAAATTTCATAGACAAAAAATTTAAGATTTCTGTTTTCGATGCAAAAGAAGCAAAACTCCCACAGATGTCATGTTCGATATCAAATAGCTGTGTGTTGAATTCATGTGACCAGTTTACACCTATTGCAAAATCTGTGTGGGGAAATCATTCACATCGTGATTAAATTTCAGAATGTGTGGAATTCTATTTAAATGCCCACAGTATACAGCTTAACAATGGTAGACGTCACCTCATCTTTATTCCAAAGAAATCATTGTAATGTTTAATCAATGCGTAATAACTTGCCCCACCTCTAAGTAGTTTTTTTTAAAAAAATTTTATTATTATTAATATTAATAAGGCCTTTTACCAAGGTACTTTAGTTCAATGATATGGAAAAATGGCCAATACTATAATCAATAAATATTTTAAATATAATACTTGATATATTTGCCTATTATATATACATCTATATACACTCACTGGCCACTTTGTTTAGGTACACCTTACTAGTACCGGGTTAGACCTCTTTTTGCCTTCAGAACTGCCTTAATCCTTTGTGGCATAGATTCAACAAGGTACTGACAATATTCCTCAGACATTTTGATCCTTATTGACATGATGGGCATTATGCAATTGCTGCAGATTGCTCGGCTGCACATCCATGATGCAAATGTCCCGTTCCATTCCAAAAGTGCTCTACTGGATTGAGATCTCATGACTGTGGAGGCCATTTGAGTACAGTGTACATGTTCAAAAAACCAGTCTGAAATGATTTGGTCATACATTGGGATAAACTTGTTTAGCAACAATTCTTAGGTAGGCTGTTGACACGATGCTTAATTGATCCTAAAGGGCCCAAAATGTGCAAATAAAATATTCCCCACACCATTATACCACCACCAGCAGTCTGAACAATTGATACAAGGCAGGATGGATCCATGCTTTCATGTTGTGGACATCAAATTCTGACCCTACCATCTGAATGTCACAGCAGAAATCGTTACTCATCAGACCAGGCATTGTTTATTTCAATTGTCTGTTGTCCAATTTTGGTGACCCTGTGCAAATTGTAGCTTCAGTTTCTTGTTCTTAGCTGACATGAGTGGCACCTGGTGTGGTCTTCTGCTGCTGTAGCCCATCCCCCTTAAGCTGTTTCATTCAAAGATGCTTTTCTGCATACCTCAGTTGTAACGAGTGGTTATTTGAGTTACTGTTGCCTTTCTATCAGCTCAAACCAGTCTGGCAATTCTCCTCTGACCTCTGGCATCAACAAGGCATTTGCGCCCACAGAACTGCCACTCACCGGATATTTTCTCTTTTTCAGATCATAATACAGATACAGATTCTCTGTAAATTCTAGAGATGGTTGTGCATGAAAATCCAAGTAGATCAGCAGTTTCTGAAATATTCAGACCAGTCAGTCTAACACCAAAAATCATGCCACATTCAAAGTCCCTTAAATTCCCTTTCTTCCCCATTCTGATGCTCGATTTGAACTGCAGCAGATCGTCTTGACCATGTCTACATACCTTAATGCACTGAGTTGCTGTCATGTGATTGGCTAGTTAGAATTTTGGATTACGAGCAGCTGGACACGTGTACCTAATAAAGTGGCCAGTGAGTGTATATGCAGACCTGTTGTGAGTGATTGAAATAAAGAAATTACACATATCAAGTGCTGTTTTGGAGCATTATCACCTGTAGTTTTGAAACATTTTCATGTCAAAATTCTCCAAAACCACATGTAACCAGTGTTTACCATGTGATTTTAATATTTGGTTTTAACATGTGCAGCTCATGTGATGCTCCTGGTTTTGCTGTAAGGGTTAAAAAATAGAGGAAACAAAGGTGTTTCAGAGAAAAAAAAAATACATTTGACAATAGAAGTTCATTTGGGCTGCATGGTAATTTTACTCTATTCAAAACTCTGCAAATAATAAATAATACATATGATTTAATAATGTAGTTTTAAAAAAAACTTATATTTACACTTTACATATTTATATTTACAATATCTTTTTCTCTCTTTCAAGCTGATGGCTTCTTTATGTCTGATGCTAAAGCTGTCCTGCAAGGATGTGATGACCACTGGACTTTCCAGGGACCGAGCCGTATGCCTGTGCTCTTCCAAACAACAATATGTGTGAACGTAAGGGTCATTTCCCCAGGAACATGGACTGCATTTAGCTATGTCTCGACGCCGACGCGCCGATATGAACTGGCCCTGCAGGGGGACCAAAACAACCTGTATGCCTGGCTGTTGGGTGTACGACACCAATTCACTGTCCAGCTGACCGCTCAACGCTGGCATCACATATGCCTACGATGGGATGCCTTTAGCAAGAGTTTCAGTCTGACAATAGGTGGAAATTCTGAAATATATCAGCGTACTGCCATTGCTCGAGCAATCCCTCCTTCCGGTAGTCTTCTGCTGGGTTGCCAACCAAATGAAGCCTTCCCTGGGGTAAAAATGGCTACGACTGAGCTCTACCTGTTTCGCATATGGGACGATGTAGGAGACCACAAGGCATGTGAAGATGGGACAGTGATTGGCTGGGATTCACAAATTTGGGCTATCACACGAACCCAGGCCAGAGTCCAAGATTACACACTGCAGTGTGGTGAGTAACACTGATTCACAAGAGAAAAGCCTGTTGAACCGGTAGTGGATAACAGAGACAGTCTTAAAATAACAATGATTATTTGCGTAATGACTGTGTATTAGACAGCGTCAGATCAACTCCGCACACCATAAACAGCCTCAAGCACTTTTTTCTCTCTGAACTAAAAGCATGCATAGTATTTTTCTCTCAAGCTATTTAAAGATGAATTAACTATCAGAACTGTTGTCTTGTTCGTAATGAACAGCATGTGGATTGTTGGGGACATTCTGTATGTAGTGTTATGATGCATAACATGCATGATGATTTATCTTCTGAAGAAAGGTCACTTTCATGCATGTGTTCTTTTGTAGATAAAATGTTCGTGTTGGAAATATCAGCTTTAGCTAGTAGCTGTGTTTTGGAAAGTGGTAGCTTGTTTCTAGCTGGTCTAAAGTGGTTATTAGCCTACTAATCATCTTTAGATAGTATCCAGATTTTTGCTGCTGTATAAGCTTGTAGGTAATGACCAACTTAATTGACTACTGGTTGGGACCAACTATTGACCAAGTTGGATCACCTAATGACTACACATGGCCACATAATAACCAGCTTGGTCCACCTAATGACTAGACGGGGCAGCATAATAAGCAGCTTTGTCCATATTGAAATAACTCCTAGCTTGGACTAACTAATGACCAAGTTAAATCTTCTAATGACTATATAGGGCCATAGAATAACCAGCTTGGTCCACCTAATAGCTTGGACCAATTTATGACAAAATTGGATCACCTAATGACTAGACAAGCCAAGATAATAACCAGATTGGTCCACCTAATAGCTAGACTGGGCTCTATAATAAACAACTTGAATACCTTCTAACTAATACCAACTAATGGCCAAGTTGGATCTCTCAATGACTAGATAGGACCACAAAATAACCAGCTTGGTCCACCTAATAGCTAGGACTCCCTTATGACCAAATTTCACTACCTAATGACTAGACATGACCAGATACTAACCAGCTTAGTCCACCTAATGACTTGACAGGGCAACATAATAACCAGCTTGGTCCAGAATGAAAAACTCCTTGCTTGGACCAAATAATGACCAAGTTGGATCTTCGTATGACAATATAGGACCACATAATAACCAGCTTGGTCCACATAATGGTTAGATAGGGCCCTATAATAAACATCCTGAATATGTCCTAGCTCAGTGGTTCTCAAACTTTTTTCATCAAGTACCACCTCAGAAAAAAATTGTCTCTCCAAGTACCACCATAGCGAGCAGTATTGAAATACAGTAGCATAGTAAGCCCAGTAAAGCAGCACCTGGCAGATTAATTCCTATTATTAAGAATATTTATTATTCTCAGCCACTTTAAACATAAATAGTCTAATGTTAACACTTTACTGTGCTTATATGTAAAATAAAAAACTAAAAAAGTCAACATTTAAATTAAAATGTGTAAAAGGTAAAAAGAAAAGAGCTTTACTTAAAGTATTTAAGTACTTGTAAAGTATTAACATATAGTAGCCAATTCATCAACACCTGCAAATTTTGCCTGGACCTCAGAAATTTAGGCTATATATGTCATATAATGAATATTATTATATGTCATATTCATATATAAATATTTTTGATAAATTTTGAAATATATGTAGCATGTACATATTACAAATTGGATTCCTCCGTGTACCACTAGAAGGAAGCCCGCGCACCACTAGTGGTACACACCACAGTTTGAGAACCACTGTCCTAGCTAATACCAACTAATGGCCAAGTTGTATCTTTCAATGACAAGATAGTACCACAAAATAACCAGCTTGGTCCACCTGATAGCTAGTACCATGTTATGACCAGATTAGATCACTTAATGACAAGACATGGCCAGATAATAACCAGCTTGGTACAGAATGAATAACTTCTTGCTTGGACCAAATAATGACCAAGTTGGATCTTCAAATGACTATATAGGACCATGTAAAAACCAGCTTGGTCTACATATAGCTAGACATGGCCCTATAATAACCAGCTTGAACAACTCCTAGCCAATCTTATTGGCCAAATAGGACCACAAAATAAACAGCTTGGACCACCTTATGACCAAATTGGATCACCTAATGACTAAACATGGAGAGATAATATCCAGCTTGGTCCACCTAATGACTCGACAGGGCCGAATTATAATCAGCTTTGTTCATCTAATGTCTAGCAGGGCCACATACTAACTCGAACCAACTGAAAACTATCTCGAACCAGCTAATGATGAGCAAACACTAGTGAATTACCAGATTGGGGATTGCAAATGTTCAATTAAGACCATGTCATGTGTAGTTAATAACTATCTTGAACTAGCTAAAAACAAGTGATTATGTTCTGATCCACGGTTTCTGACTCGGGTTGAATTTTCCAACATCAATAGCCTTGCTTGTTACCTGCATCAGAATTTATTTAACATTTATTTTGTGGCATTTCAGTGAATAAAATGCATCTGATACACATCTGATTAAACCTGGCTACTCTGTTCCAGAAGTGCATGAGCTCAGTGTATAAGACACGAGTTTGTCCTCCACAGGAAATTATGAAGTCAAATCAATTTCAAATATCCTACAGGATATTTGAAACGTTTCAAAATACAGCCAGACGGCGAGGCTGGATTGAAAGCATTGGATGTCTTGATTGAAATGATCAGATCTGATTTTGATGCAGGGTACAAGAAGGGCAGCGGTAGCAGCACTCTAGCTCTTGACTTTCTATCATTTGTGCATGCTATTTCTATATCTCATCTTCTAGGCATAAAGCATCTGCGTAAGAAACGCAATGCACAACCATCTACGCCCTCATCCACTGGTAAGTGCAGTGCAAGTGTAATTTCACTTCACTGAGTTGTACTGTTGTGTGGTGGTGGATAAATGTCTTGGGAAAGATAGCACTGAAGCTAAAAGCTACTTGAAAGTTGCCTGTTTGATTGAATAACCTTAACGTATTCACCCAAAAAACAATATTCTGTTATTAATTACTCCCCTTCATCTTGATTCAATCCCCTTGAGAGCTTCTTTATCATTAGAACACAAATTTAGATATCTCATTCTCCATAGACAGCAACAGTCACAAGACAATTTCCTGAAAAGGAACCAAAAACATTGTCAAAACATTCCACATGACTTCAGGTGATCAACTGAAAAATCTCCATGAAAACGTTTGTGCGCCAAAAAAAAAACCCTGTAAATATGACAATATCTTGTCTACATATTATACATTTTATCTTAGATATAAACAACTTATTGCCTACATGTATATCTTCTCTCCTGCTTCAGGTCAGGGTCTGCGTTTAGTACAGGCAGTACGACGTAACCTTGCATCCTAACCTAATCTAACCTAATGCTGGAGACAACTTTTCTCGCACAAACTTTATCATGGAGCTTCAAATGAATGTTTTGACTATGCTTTGGTTTCTTTTCTGGAATTTGAAATTCTGGAATCTTGTGCTGTCTAATATGGAGGACGATAGATCTTTTAGATTTATTCAAAATATCCTAATTTGTGTTCTGATGATGAATGAATGTCTCAGGGGTTTCACAGTACATGAGGGTGAGTAAGTCATAACAGAATAAAAATGTTAAGGTGAACTAATCCATTATTATATCTAACCCAATTACAACTGAACAGATATTCCACATATTCCAATCAACAACAAAATGTTAATGTAAATACCAAATAATGTTTCAGTAAATTTACAAACAAAAAATCTCTGAAGCAGTTCATTTAAATAAGTGGTTTTCAAACAGCTTCTGGAGCAGCATTGCACATTTGGATTTACTAGTAGTAAACAAATTCAGCTGTTTTAGGTAAGAGACAGTACTAAGAACCCCCCTGAATGTGAAAGAAACCTGATTTGCATGACCTCTTAGAAACAAATCATCTTACTGTGTAAAGAATCTGCTTTGCAAGGGCTATGTATGAGACAGTTTACTACAGCATGATTAATGCTATGTATTACAGAACAACTAATTCCATACAGTGTGGCACATCTGAATGTTCATTCATTCATTTTCTTTCTGGCTTAGTCCCTTTATTAATCTGGGGTTGCCACAGCGGAATGAACCGCCAACTTATCTAGCATATGTTTTACGCAGAGGATGGCCTTCCAGCTGCAACCCATGTCTGGAAAACACCCATACATTAACACACATACACTACGGACAATTTAGCTTTCCCAATTCACCTATAGTGCATGTCTTTGGACTTGTGAGGGAAACCGGAGCACCCGGAGGAAACCCACGCGAACACTGGGAGAACATGCAAACTCCACATAGAACACTGTGCCACCGCACAGAATGCAAAAAAGAATTCAGTTTTTTCACACACCTGATGGTATTGTACATCTTGAGAAGGTTTAAAATATACTGTAGTTTCCAGTCTGTGGAAATACTTTTGTAGCAGTGTTTATTTTAGTTCTTTTATATAGAGACCTGAAAGGGACGTGAAGGTGGGAATAAAAATAAGTGGAAAAAAAAAACTGAGTGATAGGAAAAGTTTTTTCATTCCCTTGCAAAGATGTTTTGCGATATCTCGCAAAACTGTCATTCGCAGAACACTTCCTGTTCACTTTATACATGTCAACCCTCCCGTTTTTGCCTAGATTCTTCTATATTATATCATCCTATGATTAAGTATTTTTTCCAGATTTTTATCATTGAAAGCATGTTGAAATTAATATAAAAATTTCAGCATTCACTTTCTATTCATCAAAGCTGTGCGTCGATCATCGCCCTTCATATGCAACCTCTGAATTAGCGAATGCATAATCGCTGATTGACGGATGTGCTTTGTATGATAAATCCCAGATCATCTTCTGTACACGCCATTTTGAGAGGAGCTAAAGTGCAGGACACTAGGTGATTCAGGTGTGTTTAAACAGACAAATCAACTTAATAATATGTAGGCAAGTCCATTCTCTATATTTTATTTTATACACAACTAATTTTCTGTTAAATGAGCAAACAGTTACTAAAGTAATCAATGCTTTCGTTATAGATCTGTGCATTCTTACAGTGACACCTCTGTTATCAAACAAAACAAAATGGGAGATTCATTTGCAGCTCTTTACTTGTTTGATAACAGAGGTGTCCCTTTAAATGGCGTGTACAGAAGCTAATCTGGCATCAGTTTGTCATACACTCTCAGAAAAAAATGGTACAACGTTGTACCAAAGAAGGTAAAAACCCTTCTCACTGGGGCAGTGCCTTTTTCTGGGACAGAATTGTACCTTTAAATTGACAAAGAAACAAATTTGCATCATTGCAGTTTGTACCCTCAAGGACATGATTTGTACCATGGGAAACCAAAATGTACCTTTGGTTTTTAAAACCTGCAGACACAAAATTGTACCTTCATCAAAGATACAAATCTGATCCATAAAGGTACCACCACAGCGACAAGACACTTTTTTACCCTAACAGTGTCAAACATGCTTACCTAACATTTATTTGAAATGCCTTAAATGTTTAGTTTACAATACCTGTAGTTTTATGTTTTACCAGTTGTTTTGTATTATTGTATTATAGAACTAATAATTAATGTTTATGAGTTTCTTTAAACATATACTTTTAAATGATGATTGTTGTTTTAATATGAAAAACATTCATAAAATCACTTTTCCTTTCAAGTCATATTTATTAAATATTGTAATAAAGAAGTTGTCTTTTACTTTTTTATGAGAACAATTGTGTACCTTCATTTCAGTTGTACCATAAAAGGTACAGAACAGTATCACAAAAGTATACCATACAAGGTCTACTTTTTACAAAGGTACAAAACTGTTCCTTAAGGAACATTATTTGTACCACCATGTACCTTTTTTTCTGAGAGTGTACGGAGCGCATCCGTAAGTCATTGCTTGTACTAATTCAGAGGATGCATATGAAGGGCAACGATCAATGCACAGCTTTAATAAAAGGAAAGTGAACGCAGACATGTTTATATTAATTTCAACATGCTTTCAAGATTCAAAATATGGGAGAAAAATGGAAAAAATACTTAATGAAAAGATGATAGAATGGTAAAATACAGGAAAATCCCAGCAAAAACAGGAGGATTGACATAGATAAAGTGAACAGGAAGTGTTTGTTAAACAACAGTTTTTTGAGGGAACACAAAAACTTTTTTTTTTTAAATATATTTTCCTATCTATCAGTTTTTTTTTCTCCCACCAATTTTTTCCCCCCACCATCACATCCCTTCCGGGTCTCCGTACTTTTGAGATGTGATTCATCATTTTTATCACATTGAAAACGTTGCTTTGACAATCTAGACAGGGCAGAAAGAAACAAAAATATTAGCTTTCATTTTTGTTTCTTTCTGCTTGCCTAGATAGTCAATTTTAATGTAACAAGGTGGCACGGTGGCTCAGTGGTTAGCACTCTCGCCTTACAGCAAGAAGGTTGCTGGTTCAAGTCCTGACTGGGTCAGTTGGCATTTCTTTGTGGAGTGTGCATGTTCATGCGCTGTAGGTAAATTCGAATTAACTAAATTGGCTGTAGTGTATGTGTAAATGTGAGAGTGTATGCGTTTCCCAGTGCTGGGTTTCAGTTGGAAGTGCATTCACTGCATAAAACATGCTGGAAGAGTTGGCGGCTCATTCTGTTGTGGCGACCTGTGTTAAATAAAGGGACTAAGCTGAAGCAAAATGAACAAATGATTAATGTAACACAGTTTGGCCTGTCACAATTTAAATTTAAGGTATGTTTGCATTGAAAATCATAACTATATTAATGCCCTCACCAACTGACAGTATCATTCGGCCTATCTGAAACACATATTGCAGAATGTATTCTGATCAGCCATCAGTGTTTTCACCATTCCTCAGCTGGAAATATAAAATCAATTCATTTATCTGTATAGGTTAACATTAACTAATCTTTACAATTTACAGTGATTTTTATATAATACTCATCATTAATGTGCTTTAAAGGTATAGTTCTTCTAACACATTTATTCTGTCATCATTTACTCAATGTCTTTTTTGAGTTTCTTTCTTTTGTTGAACACGAACAAAACCATTTTAAAGAATGTTGGAAACAGACAGCCTCTGAGTTCCATTTTGTTTTTCGACTATGAATGTCCATGGCTTCCAACATTCTTTAATAGTTTCAACAGAAAAAAGAAACTTAACCACATGACTTCATTGTTGAGTGAACTATCCGTTTAAGAAGGCATTGTTTACTTTATAGTTTACAAGTAAAAATAAGATTTGGATCATTTCCAGTAAAGGTATGTCAATGTTTGTTTAAACATGAAATGCCATTTTTACTTCTCTGCAAATGTGGCTCTTGTTTTTGTTCTCGATCTCACGGCATCCTGCACTGAGCATTCACACTTTTTCCTCATACAATGCATGACACAAACAGACACGTCAGATGCATACATTTGAATAGAGGAAAAGTTCAGGAGTTGATAGATTTGACAGAGATAAAGAAAACTGATATGAGTATACTGTATAAATCTATCAGCTGTACAATAATATTATATTCATCAACACAGTTTGTTCTACAACTCATCTATTCAATTTAGAATCTGAATTAATTGACAAGTGCAAAGAGCTTAAAATACTTTTATAGTTATAGTTATAATAGTTTAATAGTTACATAGTGCCCAAACTTTTTAGTCCACAACCCCCAAAATAAAAATGCCAGTGACTTGCGACCTCCAAATTCCTTGGAGGTGGTTATAAATATACATTTGTTGCGTGCGAAACAATAGGCCTACATAAACACGACCATATTGACAACACAAAAAAGCGCAACAGTCAAACAACCATATATTTTGCATAGCCATTTATTAATTTGTTTAATTTTATGTTAAATGTAAATCAAAGGCGGCAACACCAAGGCTCCAAAAATACAAATTTATTAAATTAAAAAGGCTGAAACAAGGTGTGCACGCTCTGTGTCAGCCTTTTTAATTTAATAAATTTGTATTTTTGGAGCCTTGGTGTTGCCGCCTTTGATTTACATTTAATTTGCACTTTTTGGCTGTTTTGGCTGAGCACCCAATTAAGAGAGATGTGCGTGCTTTTGTACAGTTTTTTCATTTTTTTTAATTTTATGTTAACCTCACCTAAAGAGACTGGTGGCACAATAGCATAAGTCTATTCTTGGTATATTTTTGGAGGCCGCCAATCAGAGATCATTTTCAATGTTCAGTTGTGACCTGAATTTTTTTATATATATTTTATTGCCATAAAGGTGTCAGAAAGTTTAACCTGATGCTATAAAATCAATCTGCTACAATCTAACATAAACACACTAATCCTATAAAACAAATAAATAAAAGGCTGATGGCCTTTTTTTAGGCTGATGTTGTTTTTTAAATAACTATAACTATTTATATTTTCTGTAGGTTATTTATAAAATATGGTAATTCTAATAGTTTAATCAAATTTATTTCACTTTTGAAATAAACAAGCAACTCCCTGTCATTATAATTTTTTTTTCCACACTTACAAAAAAGTCTTCTTTGTGTATTCTTTCACTGTACTTAATTAAATGTACTACTTTGTTTGCTAGAAATTATTTGGATTTAAAGTTTTAAATGTATGTTTTTTCCCTACTTACAGCATCCCAGAATACAGCTTCCAGCCGGGATTTTACTCTAACAATAAGTATGTGTTCTATCTTTGCTTTACCAACAGTAGCACAGGCCAAAAAACTACCTTAAACACAGACCTGTGTGTAAAAAATTTGTATAAAATACAGTGTATTTTGTTGTGTTTACTTCACAAAAAATGTAATTTGTATAAATTTGCATTTTGGATCTTTACATGTCATTTGTTTGTTGCTGTGTGGAATCATATTTTGTTTCTTCCTCTTTGCCTTTCAAAGGTCCACTCTACTCACTTTTAAATTCAGTAATTACGAATGTACAGGCCAACGCAAACCCAGGTCAGTAAACAGATGAAAGATGTTGCTGAATATCAAAAGCTGAAGTGTGTGTGTGGGTGCTAAATCGCCTTTAGTCAGTGGGCCATTAAATCACAATTTACTCTCCCTCAAGTGGTTCCAAACCATGATGAGATTTTTTTATTTCTGTTAAACACAAAAAGTATAAATTTTGGGGGGAAAAATATTATACTATTCATGTTTTAGGCTTGCTAACTTCTGTTAAGGGCATGTAGTAAGTGTTGATTTGCCCTGATTCTCACAGTGTATTTTGGGACTACATACCTGTACATGGTGTAGTGATCAAAATTAATTCCTTTCATTTTCTTACACAGGACTGAACCAAATTTTGAATCAGAACAGCAATACCTCTCCTGGTTCAACATCACAACCTATAACCATAACAAGTCCTCCAGGACTCACATCAACATCTTCTTCAATGAATCCCAACACATCACCTACAACTTCTTCAGTGTATCCAAGTACAACAACACAACTCCCACCATCAGCTACTTCAATGAATCCAGATGCAGCACAACTCACATCAACAACTTCTTCAATGACTCCCAGTATGACAACACAACTCGTACAAACAGCTACTTCAACGACTCCCAATACAACAACACAACTCACATCAGAAACTTCTTCAATGACTCTTAATACAACAACACAATTCACATCAACAACTTCTTCAATGACTCCTAATACAACAACACAACTGACATCAGAAACTTCTTCAATGACTCCTAATACAACAACACAACTGACATCAGAAACTTCTTCAATGACTCCTAATACAACAACACAACTGACATCAGAAACTTCTTCAATGACTCCCAATACAACAACACAACTGACATCAGAAACTTCTTCAATGACTCTTAATACAACAACACAATTCACATCAACTACAACTTCTTCAATGACTCCTAATACAACATCACAACTGACATCAGAAACTTCTTCAATGACTCATAATACAACAACACAACTGACATCAGAAACTTCTTCAATGACTCCTAATACAACAACACAACTGACATCAGAAACTTCTTCAATGACTCCCAATACAACAACACAACTGACATCAGAAACTTCTTCAATGACTCTTAATACAACAACACAATTCACATCAACTACAACTTCTTCAGTGTATCCAAGTACAACAACACAACTCACACCAACAGCTACTTCAATGAATCCAGGCACAACAACACAACTCACATCAGAAACTCCTTCAATGACTCCCATTATGACAACACAATTCGCACCAACAGCTACTTCAATGACTCCCAATACAACAACACAACTAACATCAGAAACTTCTTCAATGACTCCTAATACAACAACACAACTGACATCAGAAACTTCTTCAATGACTCCCAATACAACAACACAACTCACTTCAGAAACTTCTTCAATGACTTCTGATATAACAACACAACTCACATCAACAACTTCTTCAGTGACTCCTGATACAATAGAATCTATGTCAACAACTTCAATGAATCCCAATACAACAACACAACCCACATCAACAACTTCTTCATTGACTCCTGATGCAACAACAGAATCCACATCAACAACTTCACTGACTCCCAATACAGTAACACAACTCACATCAGAAACATCTTCAATTACGAATGTACAGGCTAACACAAACCAAGGTCAGTACACAGATGAAAGATGTTGCTGAATATCAAAAGCTGAAGTGTGTGTGTGTGAGTGCTAAATCGCCTTTAGTCAGAGGGCCATTAAATCACAATTTACTCTCTCTTAGGTGGTTCCAAACCATTATGAGATTTTTTTTTTCTGTTAAAAACAAAAAAAGTATAAATTTTTGGCAAAGACATTTCCTAGATTGGGGGAAATATATTATACAATTGAAGTCCATGACGACAGGATACCAACATTGCTCAAAACAACTTTTTTGTGTACAACATAGAGAGAAAGTGGGTAAATGTCCTTTTTGTGTGTAGTACCCCCTTAAAAGAATAGTAGTTTAATCATAATTATAACGATAATGAAAGAACAAAATTGTTAGAATCACTTTTTATACCGTATGAATGATAAAAACAGACTATTAGAATCCATCCTGTTTTAACAAGCTAAAGGATTTAAAGCTGCAGACAACAAAGCTAATACGTTGCATGAATCTCAATCCACTCCCTAGTTTCCAGTGTTGTGGATCAGTTGTGTATATGAATTTAGCCCCTGGTAAAGACAGTGATTAGCTTGGTTCACTACACATTGGGACATATTCGGCTTCATTTTAAAGATCTAGACACAAAGTCTAAAAAGCATGGTGTCCACTTTTGCTATTTTAGAGATGAAAAATACACTTAAGAGCATTCAATCACCAATCAGAGTCTCATCTCCCATTCCCTTTAAGAGTCAGTTGTGTCGTGCCATGGCTAATTTGCTATTTACATGACAGACTTTGTAAAATGAAAAACTTAATGCTTTACTAGTCAGAAAATTTCCAGCACGAGGATAAAGAACAAGCCTCCTCCATTTGCCTTTTATTCTTTACTTTACTACTTTACTTTTGTGGATAAGAAAACAGGTGTTGTACACACTCCACTGAAGACATCCATTAGTCTACATATTTAATTTTGTTTGAAAAGCTCAAAGATTCGTTTCAAAACTATTTCTAAATTCAGTTTTAATTCGTAGAAAACAAATGAATAAACAATAAAAATGAAGTGTGGTCAAAAAACAGAGTTATATCCAAACACACGTCCTATTCTTATGCCCATGTGGTAGTGCATATGTCTCCATACGTCTTAACACACCTCCTTTTTAGACCAGAACACCTATGAGTCCACGAAGTGACGCAGTTGTATTTGCTATTTAAACAACGTGGCGCAAAACGTAAAAATTAGGGTTGCGCAAATCATGCCAAATACCTCTTGTGCCTTATTGATCCGGCTGTGTGATAGGGCCCATTGAGTGTGACATGAGAGTGTACTTGTTGTACAACATCCAAACTGGATTTTATAAACAGCAAAATAATGTTGTATTAATAAAATTTATAAAGTTTTTAAAAGCACATTATAGCTAAATAATTTGATGGTTTCATATGCCAGTGACTTTTCAGGCATTAATCATTTATTACTGTTTGATAGATTAACTAGTCTATGTTTTTTTCATGTTAGCTATAAATAAACAGGTTATTTTTAGAAAACACCTCTCGATTGTCATTATGTTTTTTTTTCCACATGATTTAGGTTTTAAGCTTGCTAACTTCTTTTAAGGGCATGTAGTAAGTGTTGATTTGCCCTGATTCTCACAGTGTATTTTGGGACTACATAGATGGTGTAGTGATCAAACTTAATTCCTTTCATTTTCTTACACAGGACAAAACCAGGATTTAAGCCAGAACAGCAGTACCTCTCCTGATTCAACGTCACAACCTACAACCACAACAAGTCCTCGAGATCTCACATCAACATCTTCTTCAATAAATCCCAACTCATCAACTACAACTTCTTCAGTGTATACAAGTACAACAACACAACTCACATCAACAACTTCTTCAATGACTCCAGATACAACACAACTCACAACAACTTCTTCAATGACTCCCAATACAACAACACAACTGACATCAGAAACTTCTTCAATGACTCCTAATACAACAACACAACTCACATCAACAAACTTCTTCAATGACTCCTAATACAACAACACAACTCACATCAGAAACTTCTTCAATGAATCCAGGTATAACAACACAACTCACATCAGAAACTTTTTCAATGACTCCCAACACAACAACACAACTCACATCAACAACTTCTTCAATGACTCCTGTTACAATAGAATCCATGTCAACAACTTCAACGACTTCCAGTACAACACAACTCACATCAACAACTTTAATGACTCCCAATACAATAACACAACTCACATCAACAAATTCAATGACTCCCAATACAACAACACAACTCACATCAACAACTCCAGTAACTCCCAATACAAACACACAACTCACGTCAACAACTCCATTGACTCCCAATACAACAACACAACTCACATCAACGACTTCTTCTGTGACTTCTTATACAACAACAGAATCCACATCAACAACCTCAATGACTCCCAATACAGCAACACAACTCAAATTAACAACTTCTTCAATGACTCCTGATATAACAACACAACTCGCATCAACAACTTCTTCAATGACTCCCAATACAACAACACAACTCACATCAACAACTCCAATGATTCTGAATACAACAACACAACCCACATCAAAAACTTCTTCAATGACTCCTGATACAACAACAGAATCCACATCAACAACCTCAATGACTCCCAATACAACAGCACAACTCACATTAACAACTTCTTTAATGACTCCTGAAACAACAACACAACTCACATCAGAAACTTCATCAATGACTCCCAATACAACAACACAATTCACATCAACAACCTCTTTAATGACTCCTGATACAACAACAGAATCCACATCAACAACCTCAATGACTCCCAATACAACAGCACAACTCACATCCACAACTTCAATGACTCTTGATACAACAACACAACCCACATCAACATCTTCTTCAGTGACTCCTGATACAACAACAGAATCCACATCAACAACTTTAATGACTCCCAATACAACAGCACAACTCACATTAACAACTTCTTCAATTACTCCTGATACAACAACACAACTCACATCAGAAACTTCATCAATGACTCCCAATACAACAACACAACTCACATCAACAACTCCAATGACTCCGAATACAACAACACAACTCACATCAACGACTTCTTTAATGACTGCTGATACAACAACAGAATCCACATCAACAACCTCAATGACTCCCAATACAGCTACACAACTCACATCAACAACTTCAATGACTCCTGAATCAACAACACAACCCACATCAACAACTTCTTCAGTGACTCCTGATACAACAACAGAATCCGCATCAACAACTTCAATGACTCCGAATACAAACACAGAATCCACATCAACAACCTCAATGACTCCCAATACAACAACACAACTCACATCAACAACTTCTTCAAAGACTCCTGATACAACAACACAACTCACATCAGACACTTATTTAATCACTCTTAATACAACAACACAACTTATATCAACAACTTCTTCAGTGACTCCTGATGCAACAGTATCCATGTCAACAGCTTCAACGACTCCCAATAAAACAACACAACTCACATCAGAAACTTCTTCAAGGACTTCCAGTATAGCAACAGAATCCACATCAACAACTTCAATGATACCCAATACAACAACACAACTCAAATCAGAAATTTCTTCATTGACTCCCAGTACAGTAACACAACTCACATCAACAACTTCTTCAATGACTCCCAATACAACAACACAACTTAAATCAGAAACTTCTTCAGTGACTACTGATACAACAACCCAACTCACATCAACAACTTCTTT